GATTATAAAATTAGTCTTGTGAACAACACTGCCACTGATTATATTTTCAACATTTTTCCGTTTGTTATCAGAATAAATCTCAACAATGTATTGATTTACTCGCTGTGATGTTATTATATTGTAAGATGTACTCACAACCCAGGAGTCATGACTGCTCTTCCCGAGCAGGGTGTAATCCGGTGAGTTACTTTGCCTTCCGACCCTTTAGATCGGGCCCAAATCTGACAAACAAATGGTACGTGGTTTTTAGAGGTCATGGATGTAACTACCACCTGTCGTCTGCCATCATTGGTGTAGAGGTATGCTGCGAAAACAAAATCTAGCGAATCGTTCGAGGGGAGAATGACAGGCATCCACTGCTCGGTAAGGGGTACATCTGGAGACACCGCCGGTAAATTGGAGCATTTGATTGTTGAAAACTTTGAAAACGAAATCTCTTCATATTTATATGATCCATTTGCATTGTTGTCCCCATCTCTTCCAGGAATTGTTCTTTTACTGTCTTCATGCTCATGAGAACTGATATTCATGCTTGATTTTGTTTTTCCAACTGCCACATATCTAAACGCCCCTGGTTTTGACTGCATTGCAGACCAAATCAAAGCAACGACAAGAGAAAGTGCACACAATGAGACCAAAAACGTCCATAGTTTTAGTATCTTTTTTGAATACGACATTCTTTCTTGCAAGGATGGCCCTCTTATGTCTAACTGATTTCACATGCCTAATTTCTGCTAATTTTCTTTTCAGCCTCCAGCGTAGACGAAAACCATACGCTACAATTGTCTGCCAACACTGCAGTATAAATTTACATACGATTTCGGATATATAAAAAAATTGTCTACCAGTGTGGTTTCAATATAGCATAGCATTAATAAATGCTCCTGTGTATTATTTGTCACGCAATAACTAATCGATCTGACTTATGTAAGGGTTTACAGTCTGGTTGTAAGAATTATACGGAAACAATCGCAATTCAAATAAGGAGACGTCAAACCAGTGCTACGTGTGTGGAAATGCAAATCTCCGCTTGTTTATCGGAGGCAGCTTCTCACCCTGTTTATATACGGGCGGGAATTTGATAAAGAAAACCGGAGGAGGCAGGATTGTGTTGGAAGTGACATCTGGTGGTATGAGACGTGTAAATAATGTTGTCTTTACATGTTGTTGGAAAAAACGCTTTTTTTCTCTCAGTTCACGTTTTCACTCCCGTTCACCTCCAGATAAAAATGAGAACTCAGCTTCATGTCTTACCCCACTAGACGTCACTTCCGGCACAATCCTGTCTCCGCTTGTTCCTTTTATTATCGATTACTGTAAACCAATAATAGTTACACAGTTACTTATCTGCCAGTGAAACTAAACTGAGGGTCCGTGTAACAGAAAGCCCGCCCTCCATGCAGTTATAATGTTTAGGGTTAGTCTTACCTAGGTGGGTTAAAATCTAGGGTGATGCCACCTGTACAAATGAATGGGAAGCAGACTCTCTATCATGGGAGACTCTGTCAATTTTCACCGGTACTGTTCCTTTCTATAGGCTGAGACACGTCCTAACACCTACCTTGCTAGTGGTTTGTTCTATACTTAGGGTAATTTCGTTTTTGATGTTTAATTTTGATTTGACTTGTTAGTTTTTTGTCCTTCAATCTACGATCTCCATTTTCATCATATTGCAACGGTCAGCATTAATTTGAAACCATGGATCGTGCCGTCTGAGGTAATGGGCAAAATAAAATAATATTCAGAAGACTGATGTGTAGATTATTTGTATTTTCGCTTGTTTAGGCCCTAATTACATTTGCCATGAGAAGTCCGTAAGGTGCTCGTATGCTGCCCGTAAATCCAACTTATCTTCTGTAAGAGTAGATTTGGAAGTTATTTAGCATATTACAATCGTGCTGCTAAGCCACCGGCTTAATGCTCCTCTCTGTTTAACTTTATGTGATTTTTGGCGTAGAAGTACAGTATAATCTACTGAAATAAAATTTTCTTACCACAGAAATATCCCAAATTAATTACCGATTAATTTTAAGGGTGTTAAAATTGCACCTTCTATATTAATATTAAATATTAAAATATCTGACCACACCTCCCTCCAGTTCGTATTGAAACGAAACTTGAAAGGAAACAATGATACGAAATTTGTATACTATTTGAAACTACCTGGGAATGGATTTACTTGTCTTCTCGTTTAACATAAATCTTTAATATTTCTCGTCTGTTACAAGTATCTTGCCTCTGTCAATAGTGACATAAACCCAGGTTAGTAAAAAAATAAATTTCAGTGAATAGACGTTAATATAAACGTGTTCAATGAGTAGACGAATGAAATAGCATAAAACGAATGAAATAGCATATAACATTTTCACTTGCAATAATGTGATACGATATAGATATTAAATTATATTAAAACCATTTTCCATATCATCATACAATTACCAAAATCCCTGTTATTTAATTGGTCAAGAATCACCTAGTCACCTTAGTCGCCAGTCCTAACCGCCACCTTTGGAAAAGTAAGCACTTAAATAGAGTATGTTTCCTCACTGATTGATGAATTATTTACACGATAATAATTGAAATGTGGGTTACTAGAGACCTTTAGAGGGTTACATCCTATGCGTCCCAATGCCGTGGGAATCCCGTAGCACACATGGGTTAATTGTAACAGCTTATTATACCTACATGTATTCCAGATATACATGCTAGAGTTAATTCACTAGCATCGCCTTTGTTTCATTGAACACATATTCCATCCTTTGCAGTATTTCCTCTTTATATGATAACATATATGGATCATATTCTCCAGCCAGACTTTTAATATAGTCTCGATAATGGTGCATAGCCCCTAGTTCCACTGGAACCACATAGTCTTTGTAACCATGGTTTAATTTTGCGCGGTGTGTCAAAGCACCCCATGTGCCCTTTGCAAGAGCAATGTACTTCGGTCTTTTATCTATAGCTCGCATTCCACGGGGAGCTATAATAGTTTTTGGTCGGTATTTTCGAATCCTTGAATCCTTGAAAGCAGCAGAGAGCCTTTGAGGGTTATTGTCCATCCGGAAAAACCTGTTCCGAAATGTATACACTCCTTGATGTTTTGGTAACACACTGAATAGTTTTTGGAAAGTCATGTTGGATCTAGGAATGAGAAATTCATCAATGTCTACCATGGCTACGTGAGTGTACTTCCTCATACTTCTGTAAAGACAGTCAGTTTGGGCTATGGTTTGCCCAATATCTCTGTACCATCTCTTTGGATAATTGACAAATTGTTTCAGGTTTGGCGGTGCGTGCCACGGTATAATGGAGAGTCGCTTTTCTTGCTTGTAATATTTTAAAATAGGATAAGTTACGTTGTAATTTAGATCAAAAGCATACATAGTGAAAAAGGCGGCGCCAAGCATTGTGTAAATTTCAATAAATTCAACCAATCTTGCAGTCCTATTAAAGCCACCATAACTTCCGTAAAGAGGCTTAACGCATACGGCAACAGTTACGTTCTTGTCGCCTGGAAAACTAGCATCCTGGATTCTTAAAACATTGTGAGGGGCTGAACACGGGTCTTTAGCCTGTACAATTGAAACTGCAAACGGCTCTTCGTCAGTCTTGATGGTACAATAAAGGAGAGTGGCTTTGAAACTGTAAAAGATAGAGTTTACGCTGAAAAAGGCCGTAAGCGTGAAACATTTATTTGTATTTACCACACAAACATACACTTTGCAAATCAATGGGCCAAAGTTTTTTTTTTGGTCAACATTAAATACCGCTGGTGGTGATTTGGGGGGGGGGGGGATGATAAAAATCAGTCTTGTGAACAACACTGCAACTGATTACATTTTCAGCATTTCTTCCGTTTGTTATCAGAATTAATCTCAATAATGTATTGATTTAATCGCTTCGATGTTATTATATTGTAAGATGTACTCACAGCCCAGGAGTCATGACTGCTCTTCCCGAGCAGGGTGTAATCCGGTGAGTTACTTTGCCTTCCGAACCTTTAGACCGGGCCCAAATCTGACAAACAAATGGAACGTGGTTTTTAGAAGTCATGGATGTAACAACCACCCGTCGTCTGCCATCATTGGTGTAGAGGTATGCTGCGAAAACATAATCCAGAGAATCGTTTGAAGGGAGAATGACAGGCATCCACTGCTGGGTTAGCGGTACATCTGGAGACACCAAGGGTAAATTGGAGCATTTCATTGTTGAAAACTTTGAAAACGAAATCTCTTCGTTTTTATATGATCCATTTGCTTTGGTGTTGGCATCTCTTCCAGGAACTATTCTTTTACTGTCTTCATGCTCATGAGAACTGATATTCATGCCGGATTTTGTTTTTCCAACTGCCACGTATTTAAACTCGCCTGGTTTTGACTGCATTGCAGACCATAGCAAAGCAGCGCCAAGAGCAAGTGCACACAATGTGACCAAAGACGTCCATAGTTTTAGTATCTTTTTTGAATACAACATTTTTTTTCTTGCAAGGATGGCTCTCTTATGTCTCACTGATTTCTCATGCCTAACTTCTGCCCCAGAATTTTCACTTCAGCCTCCAGTGTATACGAAAAACATTCGCTACAATTGTCTACCGACACTGCAGTATAAATTTTTCAAAAGATTTCGGATACATACAGAGATGGGCTATTCGCTACCAGTGTGGTTTCAGTATTACATAACATTAATAATTGAACGTGCGGCTTCCAGTCTATCATTTGTCACACAATAACTAATCTATCATTTTCTGACATATGTAAGGGTATACAATTTGAATTAATAATTATAGGGAAACACAATGGCAATGCAAATAAGCAGACGTCAAGCCAGTACTATGTGCCTGCATATGCATATCTCCTCTTGTCCACCGAAGGCGGCTTCTCTCCCTGTTTATCCTAGGTAGGGATTTAATAAGAAAACCGAAGGAGAGTGGATTGTGCCAGAAGTGACATCAAAAGTGAACAGAAGTGTGGTGTAAGACATGTAAATAACGTTATCTTTCCGTGTTGTTGGAAAAAACGTTTTTTTCCTCTGAGCCCACGTCTTCACTCCCGTTCACCTCCAGCTAAAAATGACCACTCAGCTTCATGTCTTACCCAACTGGTCGTCACTTCCGGCACAACCCTGTCTCCTCTTGTTCCTTTTATTATCGATTACTGTAAGCCGACTGTAATTACACAGTTACTTATCTGCCAGTGTAACGAAACTGAGGGTCCGTGTAATAGAAAATTCTACCCTCCATATAGTTATAATGGTTAGGGTTAGTCTCACTTAAGTGAGGCAAAATCTAGGGGGAGGTTCATCTGTACAAATGAACGGGAAGCGGTTCTCTATCACGGGGGACTCTATCACGCTGTACACCGGTACTGTTCCTTTCTAAAGACTGAAACTCGTTTTAACTCCTACCTTGCTAGCGGTTTGTTCTATGCGTAGTTTCGTTTTAAATGTTTAATTTTGATTTGACTTGTTAGTTTTTTGTCTTTCAATCTACGATTTACATTTTCATCATATTGCAACGGTCAGCATTAATTTGAAACCATGGATCGTGCCGTCTGAGGTAATGGGCAAAAATAAAATAATCTTCAGAAGACAGATTTGTAGATTTGTTATATTTTCGCTTGTTTAAGCCTAAATTACACTTGCCATGAGGCGTCCGTATTGTGCTCGTATGCTGCCTGTAAATTCAACTTGTCTTCTGTAAGAGTAGATTTGGAAGCTATTCAGCATATTTCAATCGTGCTGCTAAGCTACCGCCTTAATGCTCCTCTCTATATAACTTTATGTGATTTTTGGCGTAGAAGTGCAGTACAACCTACTTAAATAATATCCGAAATTATTATTGATTAATTTTAAGGGTGTTAAAATTGCACCTTCTATTAATTTCTAGCCACACCTCTCTCCAGTTTGTATTGAAACGAAAAATGAAATGCAACAATGATACGAAACCCTGTGGTTTGTATACTATTTGAAACTATCTGGGAATGGAATTACTTGTCTTCTCGCTTAAAATGTATCTTTAATATTTCTCGTCTGGTACCAACATCTTGTCTCTGTCAATAATGACATAATCCCAGGTTTGTGAAAAATAAATTACAGTGAACAGACGTTAATATAAACGTGTTCGATGAGTAAACGAATGAAATGGCATATAATATTTTTACTTGCAATAATGTGATACAATATAGATATTAAATTATATTATAACCATTTTCCATATCATCATACAATTACCAAAATCCATGTTATTTAATTGGTCAAGAATCACCTAGTCACCCTAGTCGCCAGTCCAAACCGCCACCTTTGGAAAAGTAAGCACTTGAATAAAAAGTGTTTGGTCATTGAATGATGATTTTGTTTCCACGATAATAATTGAAATGTGGGTTACTAGAGACCTTTAGAGGGTTACATCCTATGCAACCCAATGCCGTGGGAATCCCGTAGCACACATGGGTTAATTGTAACACCTTATTATACCTACATGTATTCCAGATATACATGCTAGAGTTAATTCACTGGCATCGCCTTTGTTTCATTGAACACATATTCCATCCTTTGCAGTATTTCCTCTTTATATGATAACATATATGGATCATATTCTCCAGCCAGACTTTTAATATAGTCTCGATAATGGTGCATAGCCCCTAGTTCCACTGGAACCTCATAGTCTTTGTAACCATGGTTTAATTTTGCGCGGTGTGTCAAAGCACCCCATGTGCCCTTTGCAAGAGCAATGTACTTCGGTCTTTTATCTATAGCTCGCATTCCACGGGGAGCTATAATAGTTTTTGGTCGGTATTTTCGAATCCTTGAATCCTTGAAAGCAGCAGAGAGCCTTTGAGGGTTATTGTCCATCTGGAAAAACCTGTTCCGAAATGTATACACTCCTTGATGTTTTGGTAACACACTGAATAGTTTTTGGAAAGTCATGTTGGATCTAGGAATGAGAAATTCATCAATGTCTATCATGGCTACGTGAGTGTACTTCCTCATACTTCTGTAAAGACAGTCAGTTTGGGCTATGGTTTGCCCAATATCTCTGTACCATGTCTTTGGATAATTGACAAATTGTTTCAGGTTTGGCGGTGCGTGCCACGGTATAATGGAGAGTCGCTTTTCTTGCTTGTAATATTTTAAAATAGGATAAGTTACGTTGTAATTTAGATCAAAAGCATACATAGTGAAAAAGCCTGCACCAAGCATTTTATAAACTTCAATAAATTCAACCAATCTTGCAGTCCTATTAAAGCCACCATAACTTCCGTAAAGAGGCTTAACGCATACGGCAACAGTTACGTTCTTGTCGTCTGGAAAACTAGCATCCTGGATTCTTAAAACATTGTGTGGGGCTGAACACGGGTCTTTGGCCTGTACAATTGAAACTGCAAACGGCTCTTCGTCAGTCTTGATGGTACAATAAAGGAGAGTGGCTTTGAAACTGTAAAAGATAGAGTTTACGTTGAAAAGTGCGATAAGCGTGAAACCTTTATTTGTATTTACCAAACAAACATACACCTTGCAAATCAATGGGCCAAAGTATTTTTTTTTTTTTTTTTT